TAGTCCTGATTGGTGCATTGAAGAATTTCACACCATGTTTTTCCACCTTTGCCCCACCCACTGGAGACCAGGGGGGTGTTCCAGAAAGCAGGTTTAGTGAAAACTATGTTAACCCTGAAAATGAGGGTTTTCAGTTCCAGACAGAGAGGTAAGTCAAACTCTGAGTCAGTCACCATGGCAACTGACTCTGTGAACCTAACCTGCTCGCTGGCAGGTTTTCTATAAGACACCCTGAGTTCTGGGAGAGGATCTTCAGACCCTGTTGAGATGTGCTGTCTTTCCCCAATGAATATCTGTTTGAACCCTACCGTTTTTCATTAGACTCAATCATTTACTGGCCACACATATCAAATCTGACACACCACTGATGTGCGCTCTCATCAGAGCAAATGCTTTTTGTGTTTATGTTGTGTTCACGTTGTGTTGATGTTGTGTCCATATTGTGTTCACGTTGTGTTCATGTTGTGCTCATGGGGAGCCACTTCATTCACAGTAAGATGTTTTCACAGCCTTTAAAATTACATCAGATCAGTTATCTAACGAGACAAAACAAACAGCACATTGATCCCTGATCAGAAAGAATACGCTGACTGATATTGATGGGAGGTTCTTCTGGGCAGATCACACACAGACCCAGGTTGACAGCAGGTGAACATACAGACCCCAAGAACACGTCACACCGCTGGACGCCGATGAACAGAGATGATCTGACAGGAGAACAGGAATATCAATAATAATCAACGATGAGGGCGGGAACTGAAACAACAGATATTAGTCTTCGAAAATGAAACAGGAAATACATTATGCATAACTTCAAGGTCTGCTGTACACTGATGCTGCGCTCAGGGACCTCCAACACGAGATACATGTATCTATATACATGTCTGTAAATAGCTTTGATAGAGCAGCAGACTACACTGTTGTAAACACTCTGCTGAGGCGTCAGACGTGTCTGTTACTGTCGCCAGGCTGACTGAGGACAGCTTCATGACACAGCCGATGTCATGTGACAAACTGAGACCTGCCGACGGTCTGTGTGTGTCAGCAGCAGATCTACAGTCTGAGTTTAAAACACCTGATGTTAAAATGAAAACTTTAAACAATCAGTCCTTGAAGAGTTCAGTTTGTGTTCTTGTTGCAGAACATCAAGAGTTCCACAGAAACACAGATTCTAACGGAACACAGAGCAACGAGAACACGTTTCAACAGTATTTAATACTTCATTAAAATGACATCAAACAAATATGAATATATATGAGACACTACAGAGAATCAGTCTGATGATGTTTATATTGTTTATTTACAGCTGAACATCTGGATGCCAACACGAGTGAGTAGACACTTTGAGTGTCCAGCAGGGGGCAGCACAGGGTTTCAGTGGTGGTGTATCAGAGTATACAGGAGGTTTATGGTGGGGTACCAGAGGGTAGGGCTGGGCGGTGTGACAAAATTTTCATATCACGTTGTTTATTTTTTTTTAAAATCATATCAGTTTCACGGTATTTGACAGTATGTTTGGATTCGGCCCACTTGACATGCTGCTGTGTTGTGCTATGGCCTATTCAAGTGCTGGAATTTGTTATTTACGTGACAACGCCTGATCACAACACAAGCTCCGCTGCATTAGTGCCGTGCTCGGTTATAATTGTCTCGGACTCGGGTTGTCTTTGGTCAGGAAAATGCGGCCCGAGCCGTGCTCCAGTATGCTCACCTGTGTGTGTGTGTGTGTGTGTGTGTGTGTGTGTGTGTGTGTGTGTGTGTGCGCATGCACATCGGGGCAAAACTGCGCCATGCGTGGTACAGAGAGCATAGGAGAATTGTAAACGCACAATCATGTAGAGACAAAAATGACATGCATTCATGTAAATAAGAGAAATAACGTAAGGCTATTTAGTTTGTTTAATGAAAGGACAAGGTATAGACCTGTTCTATAGGCCTGGATATGAAGCGTCCATAGCTCCAAATAATGTCACGGTAGTTTCTAAAGGGCTAAGACGAGCGGTGCGCCGCTGTTAGTTGCATATAGGGAAAACACTGTTGTTTGTGGTATGAGTTCTTCTGGGTCATCATCTTCTTTTTCAGCAACAGGTACAGTTGCTCCACTTTCAGGAGTCTCTCCGGCAGCCATTCTCGCCTCTTAACTTTTCTCTATGCTCTCACTCTCACCGGCTCTAGCACACCTGTGGTGTGCAGCGGTGAAATGGGTCCCAGCTGAAACACTTTCCCGCCGCGCACATTCAGGACGTTGTTTGGGCTATTCACCGGTATTGCGGTATATGAAAAATTCAAATCATAACGAAAATAAATACTGATTTTCGATACAAATCGGAATACCGCACAGCCCTACCAGAGGGTACAGGAGGGTTATGGTGGGGTATCACAGGGTACAGGAGGGATATGGTGGGGTATCGGAGGGTACAGGAGGGTTATGGTGGGGTATCGGAGGGTACAGGAGGGATATGGTGGGGTATCAGAGGGTACAGGAGGGATATGGTGGGGTACCAGAGGGTACAGGAGGGATATGGTGGGGTATCAGAGGGTACAGGAGGGTTATGGTGGGGTACCAGAGGGTACAGGAGGGATATGGCGGGGTACCAGAGGGTACAGAAGGGTTATGATGGGGTATCAGAGGGTACAGGAGGGATATGGTGGGGTATCAGAGGGTACAAGAGGGTTATGGCGGGGTACCAGAGGGTACAGGAGGGTTATGGTGGGGTATCAGAGGGTACAAGAGGGTTATGGTGGGGTATCAGAGGGTACAGGAGGGGTATGGTGGGGTATCAGAGGGTACAGGAGGGTTATGGTGGCATATCAGAGGGTACAAGAGGGTTATGATGGGGTATCAGAGAGTACAGGAGGGATATGGCGGGGTACCAGAGGGTACAGAGGGGTTATGATGGGGTATCAGAGGGTACAGGAGGGATATGGTGGGGTACCAGAGGATACAGGAGGGTTATGGTGGTGTATCAGAGATTACAGGAGGGTTATCAGATAGTTGCTGACATCTGATCCGAAATCCGTGATGAAAAAGAATTAACTTCCCATCAGCCTGTTTGGTTAGAGGGTATAAGAAGGGGTATCAGACATACATTAGAGGGTATAAAAAGGGAAAAAGGGTTAGACAGACGTGGCATCCGGCCTGTGGGTTATCTGAGACTGAGCTGAAGACGACTCAATGTTGACTCCTTAATTGAATAAATAATAAAGCACCAAGCAGCAGCATTCAGTCTGTTACACCATAACACATCAGTTTATACACCTGGACTTCCTGTGTGAGAGAAGAAGAAGGAAAGGCAGAGCGGACATTGATCCTCCGGACAGAGAAACGATCCACAGACCAGTCGACGGGTGAATCAGGCTCAGCGTTTGTCGTTTGATGACTAAAGGGACTCCGTTGTAAATGTTCCACATGCTCACCAGACATACATGATGTTCCTCATTCAGCTGCACGGTCAGAGTCAGTCTGTGGCTCAGCTCGCAGGCCGACGGCTGAATGCATCTAAACAAACAACACCTCCTACAGAACATTGCTTCAAGTTCTTCATCAGGTAAAAAACACTACACTTTCATATATATATATATATACACATCTGAGTGTGTGTGGACGAACTCTGTGATCCAAACCTCAAATATCTCCTCGTTACATCTGCACTGAGAGCAGACTTCAGTCTGAAATTCATCCGAGCTGAAACTCGCCTGTCGCATCACTCAATAGTGTTATTATGATACCATCACTGCGTCACTTCTACAGTCATGTGTTCATGAGGTTTGACTGTTTAAGAGCTTTAACCAGTGACAGTGAGAATGATCATCACCTCATGATCTGACTGGATTCACTGGAATCTGAACTCAAAGACACCACTGAAGGTAAATTTGTGAAACTGATTTTGTTCCGTCAGCGAGCTGCTCTGAAACAGACGAAAAACGCTCTGAGATTTGTTTGAACGTTAGTCACAGATGTGGAGCTGCAATTTTGGATCTTCAGGTTCTACAGTGTGTTTCTTGCTGCAGTTGAGTCTGAACGTTTCCTCGCAAACCTCCCTGATATGTTTCTATAAAGACTGAAGATTCACAACCAGACCAGCTCAAACAGGAAGCCACTGCCAAACCTTCTGATTCACAGGAAGTGACCACGATGAGACGGCGTACCATCTCTAGTCAACAACTCTCTGTACTTCTGATCTGTAACGTTGACACGAAGTGACCACCATGAGACGGTGCATCATCTCTAGTCAACGACTCTCTGTGCTTCTGATCTGTAACGTTGACACGAAGTGACCACCATGAGACGGCGTATCATCTCTAGTCAATGACTCTCTGTGCTTCTGATCTGTAACGTTGACAGGAAGTGACCACCATGAGACGGCGTATCATCTCTAGTCAACGACTCTCTGTGCTTCTGATCTGTAACGTTGACACGAAGTGACCACCATGAGACGGCGTATCATCTCTAGTCAACGACTCTCTGTGCTTCTGATCTGTAACGTCGACAGGAAGTGACCGCCATGAGACGGCGTATCATCTCTAGTCAACAACTCTCTGTACTTCGTTCTGATTTGCAGCTTTTCAGACTTATTTTGTGGCTGAATATAATTTGTAGCTTCTTAAAATCTGAATGAGGATAGTGATAGTGAGATACTGGCTACAGTGATGAAACAAAACCAGCATCAGATGGACTGTATTCATAATCAATACGCCACAATAATATAAATAACCAGCGCCAATTCATCAGTCAGTGAGAATGTGTGTGTGGGCGGGGCATAAGCACATACAGCCAGCAGCAGCAGCAGCGACCCACCGTCTGACACCGGCACACTGTGAGGACAGAAACAGAGGGCTCTGTGGGGACGGAGCACCTGCTGCAGCAAGCCAACACGCCGTCTGTGGTCATTTTGACTTGACCAGCTGACTTCACTACAAGCTGATTGGCTGTTGAAACAGGTGACGTGCTTTAAAACCAGCCGCCGGCCATTTGACCAGCTGAGTGTAGGGTGACACCATCAGCTGGCTTGAGTCGAGCTCAGACCGGCCAGTTCACACTGCTGACACTTTTCTCTGCAACGTTTCGTCTTGTAGTGAATCGTTGGTCTGAACTGTCGAGTCATAACTGAAGATTTAAGTGTTTGTTTACAGGTGAGATCATACAAAAGAAGGATGCTGACTGGCTGCAGAGACTGATGTCACTGATTCTGTGGACTGCTAGGTTAGCCTGTTAGCTTGTTAGCTCCTGTAGTTTCCTGTCAGTGTCACCTGGTGGATTTTGGTCTAACTGAAGCGTCAGCACACCTATACACTTGGCTGCTCTCAGTCTGACTTGGACTTGGCTGCAGCTGTCACATTATAGTGTGTGTGTGTGTGTGTGTGTGTGTTACATGAATGTCCACATGATAAACTCCACAGCAGGGGGCACTGTGGTGCAGGGACACAAGTCTGTCTTACAAACACTTTGCTTTAGATTAAAAGTGCGATTCTTTGAACACATTTTAGAAAGAGGTGCTGAACTCCTGCAGCTCCACCTGGAGGCCGACACCCCGCCTCCAGTCTGTTACATCAGCCAGGTGCAGCCTGAGGTTTTGGTCATTATCCCCTCCTGCTCCTCCTCCTCTGTTTGATTGGCAGCCAGCGGCTCAGACCGAGGACTCGCGGGCGGTTTTGGAGCGCAGAGCTCCGGCGCGGCTCAGGAAGGGGAAGGTGGTGCCGAGGCAGCCGGAGGCCACTGTGAGACCCAGACTGGCCCAGGCGCAGCAGATGGACCAGCCGTAACCGTGATCCACGTCTGCCGGCAGGCCGTAGATGAAGGGGGGGTTTCTGGAGAGGTCGTAGGTCACGCTGGCGGCGTATGTACACAGAGAGATGGTGCAGAAGATCCCTGAAAAAGACAGGAACAAGAAGCTCTTTGAAACATTCAGAAGGACTCGACGTGACATCACCTGACTACGTTTCTATGGTAACGGACGCTGCAGACCTCACCTCTTCAGAGTGAATATTAATCATCATGTTCTCTCTGCTCCACATACACTCTCAGCTGACGTTAGAAATGTAAACATGTTACATCAGTGATGACATCACACCACGCCGTGCACAAACTGTATGTAGCATGTTGCCATGGGAACCAACAAGCGTTCCGCTGGCGAAGCAGATAATGAGAGTCCAGTTAGATTTTATCAGCAAGAAATATTCAACCAATCACAGTGAAGTGATTATTATGGGAGAGAGCTGCGGCGAGACCTTCTGTCAGTTCGTAAACAGACTGATACAATAAAAACTTTCACAAACATGTCACACCTTCTTTACAACAAGCCAAATCTCTTCATGCCGTCACTCCATGTCACATAAGGTTTAAAACACCTGGAGAACACAGACAGCTAAGGGATGCTGTCGTGGTACCTGTGACCTCCCTCCGGGTTTATTTAATCATGTTCATGTGGTAGCACAGTGGAGGAGTGGCTCACACTGTTGCCTCACGCCTTGTTCTCCCTGTGTCAGCGTGGGTTTCGTCCAGGTGCTCTGACATGTTCTCCGTGTCAGCGTGTGACACAGTGTGTCTCAGGTGTGTATCTCAGAACATCAGTGTGGGTTTCCTCCAGGTGCTCTGACATGTTCTCCCCATGTCAGTGTGTGACACAGTGCATCTCAGGTGTGTATCTCAGGACATCAGGTATCAGAAACTTTAAATCTAATATGACGTGAACTCGTCATGACGCGGCAGCTGATTGGTTCCCAGACTGCATGTTGGCCAAAAGGCCCCGCCTCTCCACACAGACTTTTTACGTGCAGCTCAAAGGTGATTGGTCCATAAAACTCAGACAACAACAAAAACCTCGCCATATTACCTTCAGATGTCGACATGGCGAAGTACTGTGTGTGTGAATGTGTGTGTGAAGGGGTGAATGAGATCAGATTTCATGTGTTAATAAAGTTTATCAGCTGTTACCTGCCATGAGGAACAGCAGACCAGAGACATGCTGCGTCAGACTCTCCTCCCAGAAGAACCCCACTGACGCCACGATGCTCCCACACAGCAAGACCGCTGCCGCCATGCCCAGGAAGCCTGCCGTGATGCGCCGTAGGTCTATACACAGTATACACATTATACACACAGTACACAGTAGCTGTTGTTGTTATTGTTGTTGTTGTCATGACGGTGCATCTCTCTGTGCCTCACTTGAACAGGTTCAAAAGTGTGACATGTGACACGTGTTGCCAACACACGACCACGATCTATTCTTATTTATTAATGTATTTATTGTGTCTGTGTGTCTCCGCATCTGCATCTGCGTCTCTGCATCTGCCTCTCTGCATCTGCACCTTTGCATCTGTGTCTCTGCATCTCTGAGTGTGCACCTCTGCATCTGCATCTCTGCGTCTCTGCATCTGCATCTCTGCTTCTCTGCATCTGCATCTCAGTGTCTCTGCATCCACATCTCTGTGTCTGCGTCTCTGTATCGGCATCTCTGCATCTGCATCTCTCTGTCTGCATCTCTGCATTTGCATCTCTGCATCCGCATCTCTGCATCTGCATCTCTGCGTCTCTGCATCTGCGTTGCTGCATTTCTGCGTCTCTGCATCTCTGCCTCTCTGAGTCTGCCTCTCTGTGTCTGCGTCTCTGCATCTGCATCTCTGCATCTCTGTGCCTGCATCTCTGCATCAACATCTCTGCATCTGCATCTCTGCATCTGCATCTTTGTGTCTGCATCTGCGTCTCTGCATCTGTATCTCTGCATCTGCATCTCTGCATCTGCGTCTCTGCGACTGCTGGAGGTTAAAGGACGTGTTTTCTCATCACTTCTCGCAGCAGAGGAAACAATGACTTCCTGTTGTCGTGTGTATGAATAAAAAATGCCCTGATTTTCTACATTAATGTAACAGACTGGACTAAACTTGACAACACACACACACACACACACACAGGTCTGTCAGTAATGAGTGGTAAACGAGCAAACAGAAAGAGTGTTGCCGTGGTAACCACTTCCTGATCACCCCCCTACTGTCCCTCTGTACTGTTACATAACACTGTCATGGCATGTTTCCCTGGCAACGGGTGACACGCAGCGAGGAGAGCTGCAGATTTATGAGTGCAAAAAGACTCCGACATTAATTCTTCAATTTATCATCCATCAGCAGTAATCTATAATCAGTGATCAATCATTTGTCAACAACAACCTGAAATCAGTCATCTGTGATCTCCAATCCAAAATCAATAATCTATGATCAATAATCAATCATCTGTGATCTCCAATCTTTAATCAATAATCCATTTCATACAGTGTATACTAAATAATAACAGTTTAAACCATAGTAAATAATCTATAATCAATAATTTATGATCTATGTTCATCAATCTAATAATAATAATAATAATAATAATAAATAATAATGATAATACGAGCTGCAGTAAAATTTAACCGATTTATAATAATATTTGATTTATGTTGAACACCTTCAGTTTACACACTCACACACTCACACACACACACATACCCACACTTACACACATATAAATATAGAGACACGTGTGTGTGTGTGTGTGTGTGTGAGTGTGTACTGACGCAGCAGGTGCCACTCGTCCTGTTGGATGGTCCTGGTCAGGTTCAGAGGGATGTTCCTCAGTCTGATTGGCTGAGAGAAGTGGTACTTGACAGCTTTGCAGCGATCTGCGATACCTGCAGAGAAAAGCCACACAGGTGAGAATGTACCTGAGCCCACCGCCACAGCTCCGCCTGTGACGGAGGCAGAGTAATATCAGAAACAAACACAGACTGTACAGACACACACACACGCACACACATACATTTTAATGTGATGTCAGATAAACATCTGAGCAGCAGCACAGCTGTAGATCCGTCATTATCATTATTATTGTTGTTGTTGTTGTTGTTGTTATTATTGTTGTTGTCGTGGTACCTGAGGCCTTCAGATGTGACTGACTATATGACACCAGCTGTCACATGTTGTCATGTCTCAGTGTGGATCAGAAGAGGGTGTGATGGAGGCCGTGTGGTCGTGGTGCCGCAGGGATGGATGGATCTGATCTGATCTGATCTGAGTTCAGCCTGCAGTCTAATGCAATGGAATGATATGTGACATCATGTCATGTGATTGGGAGTGCTGTAATCTGATGTGTGGTCCGGCTGTTCTCTGCTTACCGACACTTTGACCTCCAGGTCTCAGCTCGGCACGCTGCCACACACTGCAGAGCTGAAAACTGCAGACGTCATGGTGACCGGAGAGCTTTAAATCCTGCAGAGACGAAGCCCAGTCAGACGTTCTGCTTCTGCTCTACCAGTCTGAAACCAGTCTGAAAAACCAGTCTGGAACCAGTCTGACACCAGTCTGAAACCAGTCTGAAAAAACAGTCTGGAACCAGTCTGACACCAGTCTGAAAAAACAGTCTGAAAAAACAGTCTGGAACCAGTCTGACAGTAGTCTGAAACCAGTCTGAAACCCGTCTGGAACCAGTCTGACACTAGTTCGAAACAAGTCTGACACCAGTCTGAAACCAGTCTGAAACCAGTCTGACACCAGTCTGAAACCAGTCTAACACCAGTCTGAAACCAGTTTGAAAAACCAGTCTGAAAATCCAGTCTGGAACCTGTCCGACATCAGTCTAAAACCAGTCTGAACCAGTCTGACAAAAAAAACAGTATGGAACCAGTTTGACACTAATCTGAATTCAGTCTGAAACCAGTGTGACACCAGTTTGAAAAACCAGTCTGAAACCAGTCTGACACTAATCTGAATTCAGTCTGAAACCAGTCTGAAACCAGTCTGACACCAGTCTGGACCCAGTTTGAAAAACCAGTCTGGAACCAGTCTGACACCAGTCTGAAAAACCAGTCTGATACCAGATGGAAAGCCAGTCTGAAAATAGTTTGAATACCAGTCTCAAACCGACCATAAGACTCCTACAGCTGACACTTTTCACACACTGTCATCACCGACCGTAAGACTCATGTAGTATCTGACGTGCCACATGTTATGTGACGACCGGGGTCTTATATGATTAGTTAGGGGCCCAGGTCAAGATTTTATTATGGCTTAGGTCAAGGATAGATAAGTAAGATGAAAGGTTGGATTCCAGCTAGATTGTCTCTTTGTCACTTGTCACATTTTGTTTCAAAGTTCATCAAAACAACCAACCTATATATGCAGGGTAAACTGAGCCGTTATTCAGAGCAGTTCATATTTGGCTTCGAACTCTCTCTCAGGCTTCCTAGGCGCTTGATTTGATGCTGTACTTCTTGTAATAAACCTTTCTATATACAAGCAAGACGGTGTCAGCGGAGTGTCCTTCATCATCTTCACATCATCGCTATTCAATAAACAACACTCATACAGCTGACACTTTTCACACTGTCACACCGACCGTAAGACTCGTACAGCTGACACTTTTCACACACTGTCACACCGCCCATAAGACTCGTACAGCTGACACTTTTCACACACTGTCATCACCGACCGTAAGACTCATACAGCTGACACTTCTCACACACTGTCATCACCGACCGTAAGACTCATACAGCTGACACTTTTCACACATTGTCACACGCCCGTAAGACTTGTACAGCTGACTCTTTTCATATACTGTCACACCGACCGTAAGACTCGTACAGCTGACACTTTTAACACGCTGTTGTTCCGACCATAAAACTCATACAGCTGACACTTTTCACACACTGTCACACCGACTGTAAGACTCATACAGTTGACACTTTTCACACACTGTCACACCGACCGTAAGACTCGTACAGCTGACACTTTTAACACGCTGTCGTTCCGACCGTAAAACTCGTACAGCTGACACTTTTCACACACTGTCAAACCAGCCGCAAGACTCATGGATGGACTGTAAACATGCAAAAAACGCTAAGCCATTACACATGACTGACATATGTGTCAGGCGGCGGTGGGTGATGTCATCAGAGATAATGACATATGTCAGTCAGCTCTCAGTGGATAACAAACTATCATCCACCATTGTTTTAATCATATTAGATTTCTTCATTTATGGGTTGTTTGAGGTGAATAATATGATGTGAATAATATGATGTAATAACATGATGTGAATAATATGATGTAATAACATGATGTAAATAATATGATGTAATAACATGATGTGAATAATATGATGTAAATAACATGATGGAATAACATGATGTGAATAACATGATGTAATAACATGATGTGAATAACATGATGTGAATAATATGATGAAATAATATGATGTGAATAAGATGATGTTAATAACATGATGTGAATAATATGATGTAATAACATGATGTGAATAATATGATGTAAATAATATGATGTGAATAACATGATGTGAATAATATGATGTAATAACATGATGTAATAACATGATGTGAATAATATGATGTGAATAATAGGATGTAATAATATGATGTAATAACATGATGTGAATAATATGATGTAATAACATGATGTGAATAAATCCCCGTTAAAGGGGTTTTTTTCCCCGTTAAAGGGTTTTTTTGGGGGAGTTTTTCCTGATCAGCTGTGAGGGTCATAAGGACAGAGGGATGTCGTATGCTGTAAAGCCCTGTGAGGCAAATTGTGATTTGTGATATTGGGCTTTATAAATAAAATTGATTGATTGATTGATTGATTGATTGAATAATATGATGTAATAATATGATGTGAATAACATGATGTGAATAATATGATGTAATAATATGATGTGAATAATATGATGTAATAACATGATGTGAATAATATGATGTGAATAATATGATGTTAATAACATGATGTGAATAATATGATGTAATAATGTGATGTGAATAACATGATGTTAATAACATGATGTGAATATCATGATGTAATATCAGGGAGCTCATTATCAACATTATATATAAACATAATGAAGCTGTATTGATGTAATATTAATAATGTTGTTGTATACAATGTATACATTAATCTATGTGTTATGTATACGTGTGTGCGTGCAGACTGACCCCGGTCGATGAGCTTATCGATATCCGGGTCCAGGCCTTTGAAGTAGCACTTCCTCCACAGGCCGGAGTGCACGGAGAACAGCGGCCTGCCGCACTCGGTCTCCAGGATGCCCAGCCCCAGGATGGCCCGCCAGTTCTCCAACAGCTCCTCCTCTTTGCTGCCCACATGCACGGGCTTCATCAGCGCCACGTCCCGGTGTCGAGCCCCCCCGCTGCCGGTGTCCACCAGCGGCAGGTGGTAGATGGGCATCTCCCGGTTCTTCTGGTCGTTGGAGTCGGATCCGTGACGGTCGCAGTTGTCCTTGTGTCTGCGGGTGTCGGTCTCGTACCAGTGGTCGGTGGAGATGGCGGTGACCAGCAGCAGCAGGGACAGCACGCTGAGCGCGAGGCTCACCGCGGACACCGTCACCGTCACCGGCCGGGCTCTCTCCATGGCCGGGACATGGACCGAGACGCTCCCGGAGCAGGTGTTGGTGCCGGTGCCGGTGCCGGTGCAGCCGTTCGTTCTCTTCCCGCCGCTGTTTCCGTTACTGGGCATCTTCTGCTTCCATCCTCGCGCCCGTCAGCCGTTCCCCGTTTGCCCTCGAGAGCGCGTTGTCATGCCGACTGAGAGACCGTCAGAGGTGCGTCAAGGTGACGGCAGGAAACGCACGGCAGCACCGGAAGTTCACTGACACCGCCTTCAAAATAAAGCACACACACACACACACACACACACACACACACACTGAGCAGTTGCTCACTAATAATATTTATTAAAACCCTAACAACAACAACAATAATAATAAACAATAACAATAATAACAATAACAGCGTTAATAAACATCCACAGATGAGACTGGAGCATGTTAAATATTAACCCTTTCATGACTGGACTGATCTGTGTAAACCTGTGTGATATTCATAAAGTGTTCTGTCATCAGCTGGTCAGTGTGACCGTCGCTCTGCGATCGGAGCATTGTCTTGTCGTCCACGACAGCACATGCAGACATGAAGACATGAGGACAAAGTGTCTCTGTCTTCAGTCTCGTCTGTCTGATGAGATACATTAATCACATTAATCATCAACAGAGTTTAGTTATTATATAGTTCTTTTTTTTTTATTGGTGAAACAGAGTGACAGGGACAAATCAAAACAACATGACAGAAGCAGTAACATAGGACATAAACAGTAGACATAAGGTGAGTAGACATACAAACAATAGACAAAAACAGCATATGGATGGGGCACATTTCAATATTTGAATGAGGGGCAAATGTCCGTGTTATATGGCTTAGACAGGGTGGGGTATGGCGTGAATAATGAGGAGAGAAAATTAAGTAAACAGAATAAAAAGCAAACATATAGATTAATTTGAGGCATTAGGGTTGTAGTGATGAGAAGAGAAAAAAATAAAAAGAAAAAATAAACACATTAAATAAACAACAACGCATAATGTAACATAACGTTACATGATATGAAGAGATATAATATATAATAATATATTATGAAAATATATATTATGACATAATACACAGTATAATGTAACACAATATCATGTAACACAGTATAACATAAGCATAGCAAGATATAATATAGTGTGATGTATTGTAGTGTAATATGAAGTAATATGGTATGATATAGGCTACTCGTACTCGTACTCGTACTCATCGTCCTCCACCTATCCGGGTCCGGGTCATGGGGGGAGCAGCCTCAGCAAAGAAGCCCAGACAGTCCTCTCCCCAGCCACCACCATGGCCTCAGACTTGGAGGTGCTGATTCTCATCCCAGCCGCTTCACACTCAGCTGCAAACCGCCCCAGCAAGAGCCGGAGGTCGCTGTTCGATGGGGCTAGGAGGACCACGTCATCTGCAAAAAGCAGAGACGAGATCCTCCCGTCACTGAACCTGACATCCTCCACCACTCAGCTGCGCCTAGAAATTCTGTCCATGAAAGTTATGAACAGAACCGGTGACAAAGGACAGCCCTGGCGGAGTCCAACTCTCACCGGGAACAGGTCCGACTTACTGCCGGCCACGCGAACCAGACTCCCAGAACACCCCCCCCCCCCCAGGATGCCCCTGGGGACACAGTCGTAAGCCTTCTCCAAATCCACAAAACACATGTGGACTGGTTGGGCGAACTCCCATGCCCCCTCCAGCACCCTGGTGAGGGTAAAGAGCTGGTCCACAGTTCCGTGTCCGGGACGAAAACCACATTGCTCCTCCTCAATTTCTGCCCCAGAAATTGGACGACCCGCCCCCGAGACCCCCGGCTATTTCCTGTTTCCTCACTGTAATATGTGTTGGTGGGATTGAGGAGCTCCTCACAGTAGTCCTTTCACCTCCCAACAATGTCCTCAGTTGACGTCAGCAGCTCCCCGCCCCCACTGTAAACAGTGTGAGTAAGTTGTCGCCTTCCCCCCCGAGGCGCCGGACGGTTTGCCAGAACCTCTTTAGAGCCGATCGATAGTCTTTCTCCATGGCCTCACCAAACTTCTCCCATGCCCGAGACTTTGCCTCCGCAACTGCCGCTGCTGCGCTCTGCTTGGCCCACTGGTACCCGCCAGCTGCTTCCGGAGACCCACAGGCCAACCATGCCCTGTAGGCCTCCTTCTTCAGCCTGACAGCTCCCCTCACCTCTGGTGTCCACCAGCAGGTTCGGGGATTACCGCTGCGACTGGCCCCGGCGGCCTTGTGGCCACAGCTCGCAACTGCTGCCTTGGCAATGACAGAGCGGAACAAGGCCCATTCAGACTCAATGTCCCCTCTGCCCTGTATCACACAATAAGTAAATTGTTATATAATATAACACGGCACATCATAATACTATGATAATGACTCGTGGTGGCGAGGGTCGGAGCCAAACTAGGAAACCGGAGAGGCAGGCGAGAGGCCCTCACACCCAGCCCCCAGTGGCATGACCAGGGGCCCCAGCGAGAGACAGGCAGGGCATTGGGTTTGTTTGTTGTTGTGGCGGACCTGCTTTGGGTCGCGTCCAGACCCTGAGGAGGTCATCGCAGGTCCAGCCTCCTTTTTTCCTGCTTTG